GGCACAACGCAGTCCGAGACAATCTATGACGGTGTTGACCATGGCGACTTTCGAAGGACGTATTCGTAGATGATTTGGAGACATGAACCCCATCCAACAGAACATCGTGGAAACAGTTCGGCAAGGGAAGGTACTTTTATAGGGAAATTGGTAGTGACCATCTCCACGTTTCTGGCTCCACCAGCGCATATGTGTGTCATGGCGATGGGGGCAGCGACACATCGACAACGAAAGGGCGCTAGCATGGCGGCGACGTCGTCGGGACTCCATTTGCACACGCACGGCACCCCACCAAAAGCTCCACTTGCCGCTGCCCCCCGGCTTCTTCCGCTGCCCGCCGCTAGTCCACGGTGCCGCGGCCGACTTGATCCAGGACGGCGCTGCGCTTGGCACGAGTCATGGGCGGCTCCGTCGACTGGATGTGCATCGAGAAAGCAGACAGCGTACACGTTTATGCTGGCCGGAATCCGTTCACCACGTCGGACGCGCCAACGTTGTACATGACGACAACGGAAATCTACGCAACGTTAGACGAAGCCGCAGCTCTTCTGGACACGACGACGCCGGCCAAGGACCGCCACTTCAACTCGACCTTGTCCAGGGACATCCTGGACAGCTGCATTCTGTACGACGTCGCGCTGCCGACCCTGGACCATCCGCGCAACTACATTGGCGTGAAATGGTGTGCGCTCGAGGTGTCGACGCGTTTCAAGTCCCGCGACTTTTGTTTGCTCGACGTCGGCTCTTCACTTGGCGATTTGACGTGCGGCGGTTCGTAGTGCTCGGATGATTTTGTGTGGAGCGGACGGCGGGGCTGGGCCCGCGTATTCCATTCGATCGAGTTGGATTCGTGCCATGATATGCAACAGTGCCTGAACCTTGTGCGGGGCATGTCTTTATGGAGTCGGCAACGCAGCCAGGCTAGGTGCACGTGGCACAGCTCGACCGACAACAGGGGCACGGTGCTCGACTGGGCCAACGACTTGTCTGTGATACGCCGGATCAAGGCGTTAATGGACCTGAATGCGCAGTTTCAGCGGCATCGACTGACTCGCGCGACGTTTATGGACGTCCACGACGTTGTGGCGTCGTCGGCGTGTGCCACCGTGCGCTTTCTCCATTTCGACCCATAAAGGTCTGCCGCAAGTGTGGCGATGTACGTACTGCATTCCACTCGATGGCTGCCGTGACATCAAACTAGGCCGTCTGCGGCAAGTGCAGCAAACACTGGGACAGCGGCACACCCCACCGCGTCGTTCGAGTGTGCCATCGCTGTGTCCTGGAGGTATCTGACCCGGCGTGTTGTCAGCTCGGCCTCTCGTCGCGCTCTGGCTTGGATCGAAACAGCGTGTGTCAAGACAAAAGCTCGTGCCGCCGTCGCGACCCCCACTGCCTCCTCGCCTCTCGATCGCATCCGAGCATGTTGGTCCGTCCACCGCCGCTTGGTCCCATTTCACGGACGCGCGAACCAATACATGACGACGACTGCATGGCGCAGACATCATGGCTCTCCCAAACATCGCGCGTTGGTTTTATCGACTGGACGACAGCGTCGGCGATCGAAGCCGCCGGTCCAACTCGCCATTCGCGGCGTCGTTGGGATAAAGACTGTAGCGAGAGCGCCATTCGTCGCGTGAGTCTGTCGACTACGAATGAAGACGCGGCTGACGACGTGCATGGCTCGTTCCACTTTGGGCGTGTTGAAAAATTGGCACGAACGACGACTCGATTTGCCATTGTATGTGTGCCTACATTCCTGCGTCGCTGCCTGGAGGAGGTGTAGTCCAGTCGTCATCGTCGGCGGTGGCGGCTGTCGACACGGCTCGAGCCGTATCGACGCAGCCATCCGCTTGCTCGACTTGGTCTGTCCATTTTTGGAGCGTCTGCTTGAGTTCGCCGAGTCGCGATGGCGGAATGGCTCGATGCTGTGATGGTGGGCGGCCGTGTTCGAGCACGGCGTGGGATGGGGTCGAGTAATGGGTCAAGTGCGATCGAGGGGTCGGCTCCTCGAGCATGTCGACTGTGGCGCACGACATCATGATCGGGATGTCGTCGTCAAACGCTCCCACGCAGGACGGTCCCCGGGCGGTCCTTGGAGCGTACGGCGGGACGTGGGACGTCATGATCGCATGCGCTTCTACATCCCGACACGTCACCGTCACAATCGTTGTACTCGGGTCGACATTGGTCGGGGGCGCGACTTGCCACGTCGACCGGAGCGTCGACAGGACGTCGTCCATTCCGTAGCCACCATGGCATTCGATGCCCCCGCCTGGTGCGGGCAGCGCGAGCGGAGTCGACGAGCACACATCGCACACGCGAAACATGACAAACGACATGGTCGGCATCGACCACAGCGACGTGCGCCTGCCTTGCGACTTGAACAGCGTCGTCAGTCGGCCTGTGTCGCCGCCATACCCGGCGTAGTGGTAGTCGGGCATGTAATACGCGCCGTGGCACCGCCGACACACGACTTCGCCGCACTTGTGGCAATTGAACTTTTTCCCGACGACCGGCGTCGACAGTTTGCAGTGGCAGACGGCGCAGTGCGACCGCGTGTGGCGCGGCACGAGGGTGTACTCGGGCAAGTAGGCCGAGTGGTTCATGCGTTGCTGGCGGAACTGGTTGTCCAGCGCAAGCATCCCCTTGGTCAGGGTCGACCGGGCATACAAGTGCCTCGAATTCATCCACGCATGGCCCTTCAAGTCGACGTCGTACAGTCGGCACACGGTAATATAGCCTGGCCGCCGACTCTTGAAGAAGACGTCGCCGCCGAGGCGGATGTCGCCTCGCACGAGGCCAAACGACCGCTCGAGTTTCGGGCACACGGACGGCATTTCTACGCTTTGCAAACACCGCGCAAACCCAACCATGCCATCGATGGTAAAGTCATCTTGGCACTACATTGCACACAAGGTCGTCGTCGTCAGCGCCGCCACGACATCGCAGCCAATATCGCACCTCGAGAAAGCAAAAGTCGCGCGTCGCGAGAAACGGCGACGCCATAGCTCGCCACTTGATCGTCAAGCTCTTGTGCGGGTGGTGTCGACCTGGCGCGGCGACATTGTACAGCGTTTGAAAGTCCACAATGTGATCGGGATTGTGTGTGGCACAATAGTCGTGGCTGCCGTCATCGCCGACGCCGACGAGGAGCGCGGCTTCCTCGAGCGTTGCTTGGACTTCTGTAATGCGCAGCTGGGCCGCCGCGTTATCAAAGAAACCGCGATACACGGCCACACCATGCGATTCAAAGGCAAACTTCCACGCAATCGGACCGCCATGGACTCGGCTGGCGCGTACGAGCGCGTGTAGTGCTCGCTCGCCTTGCCGCGTGTACGCTAGTTGCTCGTCGTTGGTGAGCGGGGGAGTGCGGAAGAAGCCCGCGGGCAGGGGAAGCTGCAGCTTGCGCGCGACCATGTCCGAGTACACCAACCGACGCACGCCGCCGCAGACGTGGGGGGGGTCTCCCGCTGACGGCGAGTGCGGGAATGTTTATCGTCGACCAAGTCGCATTGTACAACGTGGGTGCATGGCACACTGGTGACTGGGACATTTGAAATCCGTGGCATTTCTGCCCGACAAATGTAGAGATGGGCTATACAACACGGCGCCCTTGACGTTCATCCCAACGCACCGGGCATGCGGAGCGGCGCGTTGTGCACAAGTGTTCAGTCGCAGCCGCCACCATCAGACGAGGACCCGAACGTCTATGCAGAAGATGATGTGTGGGTCGCGCGAGTCGACCACGAGGAGGGAGAAGCGGCAGCAGGGACGGCGCTCGAATGTAAAGTTGGACCGTTGTGGAAAGCGGCGCACACCGTCGCCGTGCCGTGGCTCTCCGTCACAACGCATGCAATCCCGCCATCTATCAGGATCGCGCGCAGGACGTCCGGTGTTCCGTGTCTCGGTCTGGCTTGCGAATTCCCAGACACACATTCAGTGTCTCTCTTGTATACATGAATACCTTGTGAAACATAATACAATGTATACATGCAAGCCGGGAGTTTTCCAGCAAGCGTTTGTCCAATACTGATTTCCCCCCCTAAACGGAACGGGGAATACTTTATAATTCTTGACATCCGATTTTATAAAACCTCGAGAGTTTTTTCAAACATTTGAACCGACATGGCTGTTTTTACTGGTGGTGACGCAATCTCTAACAATTAATACCTGTTGTTTTTGATATTCTGTATAATGCGTTCAAGGGCACCCGTTCCGTTTAGGGGGGGGAAATCAGTATTCGCGAAAACTACGCATGGATTTGGGAATTTTGAATACAATAGGGAGTGGAATTGTCAAAAACCCGATGCCATGGTGGCACGTTGTGCATGGGGAGAACATCGAGTCGAGCGCCACAGCTCTTCTGTCCCCCCACCTCCACATGAATCGAACACTGTGACGACCCCTTCAAACCATACGTTGTGACGAGCGTCCTTATGTGGTTTTGGCACCACCACGCTACCGCGCCGACTTGGCGATTCGATCGTGGACAACCTGTTCTACGCAATCCCTTATCCATCCATATCCTGTCAGAACGTATTCGGATGAGGTGGAGCCACCGTGGACGAGCCGCCGCTCATTGGACCCATTACCACACCACGTGGCAAGCCAGAAGTCGCGTCGGCTGGTGGTCGCGGCGCTCGAAGCGCAATATGCACCTTGGCAGCGTCACAATCAGGTCACTGTCAACATCCATGTGGGGGGAATGGAACCCATGAGACGGTCCGCATCCATCGACCTCGCCCGTCGTGGGCACAGGAACAAGCGGGGTTCGACGCGGCTGGTGGGGGAATGCTGGGCTGGACCTCGCCAGCACCACGACGTCGATTTCGCCCTCCTGTTGGATTGAAATTGCGTGGGGCTCCTGCGACGACCCTTCGGGACGGCGCTCGTGGAGTGTTTTTGGTCATCATGACATCGACTCCGTCTTGCCCGTCCATGGCACGGTGTCGAACACCGTGGCTCCGACTCTAGCCTTGTCTCCATGGCCCCCCCCACTTTCAGCTCCGCCGCCTATCCATTACTGTCGTTGCTGCTCTACTGTATAGTCAAGAGGTTGTCGCCGCCCGTTCCCCTTCTTGAACACCCCAACTGTTCATGCGGTGCCGATGGCATACCTGGTCCTCCCATCCTGCAGGGGTGGATGTACACCAGCCTCGAGCGAATATTCTCCATGAAAACGTTGTTTCGGTCGATGCCGTTCCCCCGTGGGCATGACAACCCACGTGACGAACGAAAGCGCCTACGTGTAAAGTGTTTGCTCGAGAGAGTTCGGATGGAGTGGCGTCGTTTGAATGTCGAGTCGTTCGACGATCGTGAGGGAGGCTGCTCGTGGGCGTACAAGCCAAGGCGACGGCTGGCCAACGCAACGTGCGGCCAAACTAGTGGTTGGAGCACGTTCGTTTGCTGCATCTTGGGCGAAGGTCCTTGGTGCGGTCGTTGCCAGGCGTTGAGAACGCTCGTACGTCGGCACAATGTGCTGCTCTCATGTTTTCCAAACTCCATGGATGCCCTTCGCCGACGCCGCCGAATCATCGTTGCTAGCATGGAGCGATCCCTCCCTAGCTGTGGCTGCTCTCAACGTTGTAGCACCATGACGTTGCCCGTGTGAGCGTCAATATGGGCTCAAGAGGACGGGTCGGGGCGACCCCATCGCGCGTCGCAGATGTGGCTGTCCGTGGGTCGACCATGCCACCCGCATCCATCGAGAAAGCATTCGTCGGGTTACGCTCATGTTCCAAGCAGCCCAAGTCGCGTCCTCTACCATGCGCTTGGACGAATCCCTCGATGAACCAACTCGCGTCCCTTGACGCAAATGCATCGGGTCTCCGAGCACCGACAGCTCCTGCAGCCCACTTCACTTGGGTCCACGGCGCTGTGTACCCGCTGGCTCTGCATCGACGACGTAACACGATATCCCATCGCGCATCGCTATCCAGTCGAGCGGGTCATTTTCACGCTGGACACCCACACTGGAAGCCGTATCGGCTTCGTCTTGACATCCATGCCGCACGTGAACCAGTGCCGCGGACTCGTCTCCTTGAGCCATCCACGCCCCTCCACGACATGCACGTGCATAAGCACATGAACTCGATGCAGGGCGCCAACTCCATCCTGTCGCACGAACTGCAGCCGGGACAATTTTATCAAGGATAGTATGTGTACAGCACGCAGCGCACCCCGGAACCAAAAGGCCGCTGCAGCATTCCCCCATCCAGTCGCGCCTTTCAAGTCGGTGCCATAGAGCATTCACGCATTCTTTTACTGGACGCTGGGGCACCCGGGCTGCTCAAAGGTCAGTGGCGTCCCGATATAGTGCTCCTGATTGGACTCAAGTACTCCCTCCAAATTGCACTTTATAAGCAAGCTTTAACTCAAGTTTTGTATTATCGTACTTTTTTCTAACGTTTGGTGATACCGGTTGCATCGAGCACCTTGATTTTACATGTTACATCAAGTGAATCTTGGGCAAAACGCGGTCCGAACACCAGCCCATCACATTGGAATTTCGGCGCTCATGACGCTACCGCCGCCGCCAGGTGCCAGCGCCGAGAAAGGGTTTCGATGCCCGCCATTGCATCCAGTCAAGGAGCGCGCGTTGGTACAACGGGGCCTGACTGCGCTTGAAGATGCGGTCGTGATGACGCAAATCGATGGCGGCGGACCAGTCGTTTGGACCGTCCATTCCCGCACCAAGGACGTGACGGTCTATGCGGACCGCGACATGCATCAATTTCACTCGATGTTCTTGGCGACCACCCAAGTCCACGGCACGCTGAACGAGGTTGCCGACTTATTTCGTCCCTACGACCGCGTAGCTGATACGACCTGCACGGACACTGACGACGTTGTCGACAGCGCCGCCCTGTACGATTTGGCCCTGCCGACGCCAAGCCATCCTCGCAACTACGTCGGCGTCAAGTGGCAGGCGTTGGCGCCGCATGTTCCGATGGTGCGCAAGCGCGATGCTTGCGTTGTCGAGGTCCATGACGACTTTGAAATCAAAGGAGTCAAAGGGTGGGCTCGCGCGTCGACGTCCGTCGAGGTCGAAGCATGTCCAAACCTCGAACAAAGTCGCGGTTTTGTTCGCATGCACATCCACCACTTTGCCCACGTCTTTCATGAGTCGCTGGCCCAGCCTGGCTACGTCCACGCGGCGCTTCTTTTCCAAGGCGACTTTGGTGGCCGCTTGCCGCGTTGGGTCTGTGATTCCCTAAGTCTAAAGCGCATACGATCCCTTGCCACACTCGACGACCAACTGCAGCGCCAGCGGCTGAGCCAGTCGCACTTTTTGCTGCCCCACCAACTCGAACCACTCAGCCTCGTTCACATGTGCATGTTGTGCTCGCGGCGGTTTGGCCGGCTGTCGAAGAAAGTCCACTGCCTTCGGTGCGGGCACGTTGTGTGCCGGCGGTGCCAGCAAGCATGGCAGCTCGGTCGCGATCGGCGCTGCCAAGTGCACATATGCCATGCCTGTTCATTGGACCCAACGATGACGTCGAGTGTTGCAGGGTCGATCGATGGCGGTCGGGGCGCGTTCGCGCTGTCGACGACGACGTTCCCCGCCTTCCTCATTCGACACAGCACCGGCACGACAAGCAGTGTCCACGATAGCAGCGTCGTCGACAACCTTTCGTCCACGGAATCGATTCACACGGTCAAGCTGCTGGAGAGCCCCCTTCACCACCTCCTCGCTACATTCCCCTTTCATGACGACCGCCCGTACAACCCCCCGACCTTGAGGCCGTCAAAGGGCGACTACGTGCCAGTGGTGCTCTATGATGGCTGACGTTAACATGGCGGAAGGAGAATCTTGTTATCTCTCGTGATCGCGGCAAATAGAGACTATTTAACGCGTTTAAACGTGGTGTCACACGGCGCCAAACACACACTTTATTGAGAATTTGCCCTACATCACAACACCATGAACAACGCGACTTAGCACAGCTCTGGTCCGTGGATGGGTTGGCCCTCCCTCGAGACTCCAGCGAACCACCCATGGGTGGCGTCAGCCACCGCTCGAGCCGTCTTGAATCGCTTGCTCGATTGGAGGGTCTCCAATCGAGCAAGCGATTCAAGACGCGGCACTGTACACACGCCAGCAATGTGGCGACTCTATGCACCCGATTGTGCATGCTCGACGCGAGACCTCAGTCGCTCGACACAGTGTGCTCATGGACGAGGCGAAAGAGTCCAATTCGGAAGGCCTTCCATGAGCTTGAGGTTGGAGCGGTTGTGTGTGTGTCCCATGAGTGCAGAGGTTGTTTAAAGCAACCAACAGCCCGTCGTCTTGCCCGGCCACGCCGTCACGAAGTTCCCTTTCACGTGAGAGGCAAGGGGGTCGCCGCTGTACAAACCCCACCAGTTCGACGTTCTAGATTTCACCGACGTCACAACGAGGGGCGTGCGCCAGCAGCGGGTCGCTTCACGCTCGCGCATATATGTACTACGTGGTTGAGGCGTGCTCTGGCGGGAGGTGGGTGCACGTCTGATACGTGTAATGCGCTAACCTATCGCGGCGGAGCCGCCAGCCCCACGCGCGCGTGGGGTCCAGTGCGCAACTCGCCATTTAGGTGTCGTGTGGTCGTCATAGGGCAAAGAACGTCAACGAAACAAAAAACGTACTGCGTTTTATTGTTTGAACGCACGCCAAGCCGCCTGGGACAAGCCTCTCCCAGTCGAATCAACTCCCACACACTCAGCATTCGGTCACGCCGACGGCACCCGAGATGGCGCCTGCCAAGCTTCCGCTGCCTCCCAACTTCTTCACATGCCCAGAGATCGACGCTGACTCGGCCTCGATGCTGGCGGACCACGCTGTGAACGGCCTGAAGACGATGGTCGAGCTCGCGCGGTTCCAAGGCGGCCCGATCTCGTGGACCCTCGAGTCGGACAAGGACGGCATCCAACACTACTCTGGGTCGGGTCCGCACGCGCCATCCGGCGCGATATTGTCCCTGCACGTCACCAACGTCGCAGGATCTCTAGAGGACGCCGCATCCTTGATGCAGGCGACGACGCACGACGAATATGCTGCGTACTGTGCGTCGTTTGCGCCCGACGTTTGCGACAGCGCCGTGCTCTACACGCTTCGAAAACCGAGCGTATCCAAGCCACGCGAATACGTCGGTGTGAAATGGCAGTGCTTCGAGTCGGCCACGTCGTTGGTCAAGAGTCGAGACATTTGCTACGTAGAGGTACTGCGTCTCCCTGCTTCTACAACCCGACCCAACCCAACGCATCTTGTCGATCCAGGCGCAGCAGGACGTGTCGCTGCAGCAAGGCGTGCGCGGATGGGCACGATGCATGCAGTCGATCGAGTTGGACTGCTGCCCAAACTTGCAGGAGTCGCACGACATTGTGCGTGGGTGGCTCCACTACGGCGGGTACCTTTTCACGGAGACCTCGATCCCTGGCGAAATGCAAATCATCCACGTGCAGTGCATGGACTTCAAAGGGCACCTGCCGCAGTTCCTCGTCAAAGTCGCGTCCAAGGCGCGCATGAAGACGCTGGCCAAGCTCCACCGACACTTTGACCGGTCGGCAAGGTCCCTGTACCGCGCGCCCCAGACGCGTCGAAAATGCATGCTGTGCAAAGTCGGTCCGCAGATCACGTGCTCCAAGTGTTACCAGGTTCGGAGACCAGTGCCGCAGTCGACGGTGCACTCGTCGATAGCTCGTCGGCACGACGATGGAATCTCACTCGCGCCGGTGCTGTAGAGCGTGTGCATGCACTGCAACAAGTACTGGAAAATGACGACGTCGGACGGCCGAAAGAATCGCATTTGCTACAGCTGCTCGTCCCAACCGACAGGCCTTCGTGGCCCAGCCAAGAGCGATGGCCTGCTGGACGAATCCATCTTTGACTCGCTGAGTGGCAGCGATCATTTAGGTAAGAGCTCCCTCGACGTGAATTGGGTTGACCAGGGGCTTGTGGTTTGTGCGACCCATCGACGTCTCACGCAGTGGGTGTGGTGGTAGTGGCGTCGCTGACAGAGCTCGGCCTCGATCGAGACGGCAGCGTCGGCTTAGACAAAGACGGGACGATTCGGTTTCTTGCCCCGCGAAGTGTCAACTCGCCATTCGACCTCGATCGCCAGTCATTCCACAGCACCGGGGGCATCCACCACCCCATGGGCCCATAGCACGAGTAAACTCTACAACGAACGCAGCTGCACGCTCCGTCCGAGTGGTGAGAAAAACAAGGCAGCAGTCGTCGATTGTGTGTGTGCATGCTATCGATTTGGGACGCTGTCGAGGCCGCGACGAAAGCACGCCACGCACTCATCTCGGGACGCCCCACCACCGCTTGGACGAGGGCGATTCGACCGGTCTGCAAGACGAAATGCGGTCGTTGTCGGCCATGGGCTTTACGCAAACGATAGATGCATCGACGAGCTGCACCGCCACGAGGATGCCGCGAAATTGGGCATAAAATCGACGGCGTTGGAGTGCCGCACAACGCCTGCGAGACGCTGGTGTAGAGCAAACGGAAAGGGAGCCGACACAGCCTGGCACGGCGCAGATGGTTGCCCCGTCGTGCATGCTCATGAAGCCTTGTCGTGCTGTTCGAATCCCAGGCTGCAACACGCAGTGTGCGCTGGAGAGAATCGCCGGGCTAGGCCGGCACGTTCGGGGTGGTCTGGCCCGCGCATCCACTAACGCCTTTGATCCTTGCAGTGTATGGTACGATGCAGCATTCATGGCGGCGAGGCCGCTCCCGCACGCACAAGCGGCAGGGATCTTGGGCTGCAACGGGTCGTCAAAGTCGTCGACCGCGGGGACCATGTCGACTCGGACGGGCTGGAAGCACGCCACCCGCAGTCGCCTTGGCTAGAGCGCCAGGTGCACGTGGCCACGCTGCCGAGGTACCAACCTACCTACCGACCTACTTCGGTGCAGCAAAGCATCGTCATGGCAAACGCACGTATACATGGATTACTTGTCTGACAACTGAAACAAAGCGTGGCACTGTCATTCAGCATGGGACATGGGAGTCGCCGAGCCACTACCAATTTTGGTGTGCTTGAGCTGTCTGTACAAGTCGACGAGCTGGGCTTTCGATACAGTCGTGCGGTCGTCTGCGCTGCCACGAGGGGGGACCCTCTGGGGTGGCTGGTTCGAGGAGGCAGTGGATGGCGTTGGGTGGTGGGGGCGGCGTTGCCGACTCGGGTTATCGTCGTCGTGCGGCTGTTTCGTCCTTGCCACAGTGGAGGACCCGTGGTCATTGTTGGCGTAGTTGTTGTGGTACATGGGGTGGTGGTGAGGGTACGGGGGCAGGTCTCGAATGGATGGGATGTCGTCCCACGGATTGTGCTGCAAAGGCTGCACTTGGGGTTTCAGTGCTGGCGCGGGCTTCCCTTTGGTCGGGTGGCGGTGGTGCGATGTGGTGGGATGCTGCTTCTGTTGGTCGTCGCGTGGCGGTAGTTGGGGCTGGTCGTACGAGTTGCCCGGGGCTTGCACGGCCACCGGTCGGTGGTGCACGACGTACTGAGGTGGGTACGACTCTTGGCGATGGTGCGGCGGCGCGTACGGGTGGCGCTTCGGCTCGTGGTCGACATGATAGTTGGGACGGCCCTGCTGGACGTGGCTCGACGACTTGGCCCGACGATACGTCGGTTCCGACCGCACGTCCGATATCTCGTGGTGGTGGTGGCCGTCGTGGTGAACGACCGACGCTTCGTCTTCCGAGTCGTCGAGGGAGTTGCCGATGGGCGGGCCGGCGGAACACCGAAAGCACACACGCACGTATCGCATGACTTGACGCGCATCTGTGATTTCCCATCGCTTGTTGCAACGGCGGCACACGACCTAGTGGATGGCCATCGACACGTGTCAGCTCGATCACATCGGGACGCTATGTGAGTGCACAAAGAGCAAACGACACACGTACCTGGCCACATCGTCGGCAGTTGTGTCGCTTCGACAATGTGTTGAACGCGCGCTGGCAGAGAAAGCACGTGCGGCGGCTGGACGGAGGCACCATCTCTTGCAGATCAAGGAGCGGTTCGTTGGCAAGCCGCATGGCGCGGAAAAACACGTCGTAGGCCAGGACCGACTTGGCGCGGCGCTTGATCCCGATGCGCTGAATCCACGTCGGGACGGACCCCCGGAGGTTGGTGTTCCAGAGCTGCGACACACGCAGCATGCCAGGCTTGCCCACAACTTCCTGGAACACCACTCCAGAGTTCTCGTAGGACGCGCGCACGATCCCCATGGCTTCTCGCAGTTCAGGGACCCAAGGCAAATCCACCGAGTGCAGCACGCGCGCCCACCCACGCACGCCGTCAATGGAAAACTCGTCGCGACACTACAGTCGGTTGTCAGGTTTACCGTCAGCCTGCATGGGCACTGTCGTCCCGGGGTAGACTGCTCGTCGACGGCAATGTACCTCGACAAAGGTGAAATCTCGATTGCGAATGGTGACCGGCATCTCGAGCGTGAGCCACTTGAGGCCGATGTAGTTGTGCGGGTGTTCGTTCGTCGGAGGCGCGAGCGTTTTGAGCACCGCGCAGTCGATGATGTCTTTGTTGTAACGGGCAATGTATGCGTGGTACGCCTCGGGCGTGTCGGCGATGTGGAGCTTGGCCGCTTCGTCGAGAGAGGCTTCGATCTCCGCGACGCTCATAAAGAGCGTCACGTCCGAGTTCCCGATGTCGGATCCCCAGTAGATTTGGAGCCCGTTCGTGTCCGTGTTCAACGTCCACTGCATTGGACCGCCCGTCACCTGAGTGTCGCGCACGAGCGCAGTCAGTGCACGCAACCCCGTTTGAATCCACTCGGACTCTTCCTGCGGTGTCGTTTGCGGGCATACGAAAAAGTTTGGAGGCAGCGGATGCTTGAGCTCCGACAAGGACGACACCCCGCGGCTCTGGCCGCCATTTCCATGACGCGCCGGTCCCTTCATCGTCGCGAGCACGAATGCACCTGTCCAGCGGTGGAGGCTGAGTACTGGCAGTCCATGTGGTCCCATCACACGTGGCGTGTGATGGGACCCAGTAAAGTGCGTGAGAAATGAAATTTAAATACGCAATTGTTTTTTCGATGCAAAAATATGTCTCCGACTTGATATCAAAACACTGTGGGGATGGATCGACTATCGCCACGACAGCCCAGTGTCGTCCATGGAACGTTGATGCGGACGGGCCTCATGTGAAGACGTTCTGCGCTCTCGTGTTGGAATTCAGCGATTGGATGTATGGAAGAATGTCGTTGTTGTGGAGTAGTACATACACCTGCATCTTCCGACATGGGGCAGCGAGTTGACTTTTTTTCTGAGGATATTTTTTTTTGATTCGTCATCAATTCCACCATGCCCGAGTACCGAGCAATTATAAAGGCAGGCCCGAATCGGTGTGTTCATCGGTGGCCGCATCGGGGATCCAACCAAGAACACTGCTACACACGATGACCTTTCACGATTGAAAACAGAGTCTGCGCATGTCGTGTCTTGCGTGTTGAAAGCTCCACGGCGTGAAGAGTGCCATGACATCCACGTCCGTATCAGGTCCAACCGCGCGCTTTTTCACGGGGGTAGACGTTCCACCACCTGCATCGACGTCGCGTCGTACTTAAACGAAGGACGACGCAGTGCCTGGGCGCCACGAACGACGCCCCCAAGTGTTACACGTGCGCCGTTCGCATGAGCTGGTTGTAAAGGACGGGGCAACCCTGCTTCAGCCAGGTGTCGGGCATCCGGATGACCATCCATCCTGCTTCGGTCGTCCTGTCTTATCCGGATACCATGGATCATGTTGTCGACAAGCACGATTTTGAACAAATATTTTTGGAGCCATTTGTGTCACTTGGAAAAAATGTCTGGAGAAATGGGGACAATCCATGTATTAAAAAGATGCCAGTCTCGAATGTACGGCGACTTCTGCCCCCCCCACAAGGCGAAGACAACGCGAAACACGTATATACAGTATATATATTAAAAAGGTGATACAAAAAGGCCCAGGTACATGGTACTACTTACTACGTAGTTCTACTATACATGTATAGTAGTAGTCATTCCACAACGTTTGCACCCTGGTATAAATTTATACCTCGTGAAAAATAGCTTGATATAAAGTTCTTGGGGGCCTTTTGGGCAAGGCAGCATTGGAATTGTGTTACGTCAGCTACGATTCGCAACTGTTGGGCCCACACCCGGAATCGTACCTTTTGTCACCCCTGAGTATCAAACTGTCCACACCAACGACAGCTTTGGCCATTCAATTCAGCTCCACTGACTGATGCCTCTATCCAGTTGCCCTTAAAAGTCAATTTTTGTGTTTTCTCCGCACCGTTGTCATCCTGGAAAAGATTTTTGGAAAACGTGCAAACGTTGCGGGATCACTGTAGTACTACTACTAGTAGTAGTAAGGATAGATAGGAGAGAGATGGTATGAGAAACCGCACATACTTATTGTTGACATTGCAAGGCGTTCGACAACGAAGATGTAGTTGACTGCGCTCTGTGGCGATCGACACATGGAAATGCCGCGGCGACAGCACTCAATCTGGATAATCACTTGCAATGAATCCGCTCGGGTATGCGGCTTCCAAGCAGATCGTCGAAGGACTGGGCGATCGACTACACGCCAGCACACGCCCCGGCTAAAGTCGCTCCGTCTGGATCACGTCATGGTTACACGTGGATTCGACGGCGCAGGTGGCCCCAGAACCGATGGGGATTATCCGTAAAGCCCTCCAGCACGCGCGTCGGAACTGGTCGTGGAGGCTACCTACCCCGTCGGGCGTGATCATCGTTCCACGCCCGATCGCGATCGTGGTGCCCAGCATAGAAGTCGAGTCATGTGCTTGAATGTGTTCCTGTAAGGCGCAGAACTGTCAATTCACACTCGATCGAGAGCCACCTTGTTGTGGCGCCTGCCTCAATGAACGTTCGCTTTGCACCCACACGATGGATGGCTGAGGGTTCAAAATCAGCTTATTCTGGGGCTGGCTCCTGTCTGCAAGGCTACAACTCTGGGCCGAGAGCGGCACTCATGCAATGTGGAAACGATTCGAACGAACCAACGTCGTGCTGAAGCCCACAAAATAGTTCATGTCAGAACGAACGATCGAAACGCTGCACTATCCAGGGGAACAGGCGAGCAACGAACACGTTGATTTGGGCAGAAAGGCTCGACGAAGTCGCCGGTAGCGAAGATGCGCAAGCGCATGCTGGACCGATCGGACATCATGCACCCGTTTTCCCCCGAGCTGGCGAGCCCAACCAAGAGGTTTTTGCCTTCCTTTAATGTGGTCAAGGGGTCACTCCCTTCGCTTGGCGACACCTGTCCAAGCCATTCCCATCGGCGCACCTTGCTCTTTATCCGCGTCGCCTTTTGACGTGTCCAGCAGGATGTTTGGTTCGAGAAGGCAACTTGGGGAAATTGAGATGTGCGAGTTTGACATTTGCTGGGGGAACGTGCCGCGAGGGATAAATTGCAGAGCTCAGCGGGTATCGTTGGGACGGATCGACGAACAAGGGCTGCCTCGTGACTTGAGTTCGCCCCATCCACATGTATCGTACGAGCGCCGACGGCACTGTAGCCCACTTTCGACCATGTGCACATGGATATCGCCCCCGTTTACTTCAGGACATCCAAGTCAGTTGCAACTGCAGATGATTTATTCTCCAACAATGGCCCTCACTCGTTTCCTTGGACTACACCGTGGCTCGAGACCATGACTCGACGGACATGCCATACGTGCTGCATGATTGACCTCATGACACATCACCTGGCCAGTCCCCTCAGGCAGCATCCAGTTTAAAGTGCCGACATTTTCGTCCGAGAGACTCTGAAACGCTGATAAGAAGTGTGCAAATGGCACGTGCAATGGGCTCGCCCCACCATCGATCTCGTTCGTGCACTCCACGACATGTTTATGTGTGCCCAGCACTTTCATCGTTTTAACGTGGCGCGACCACCATCGAGCTTCGTAGCCCCATCGCAAACGTGAGTGCGATGCCTCTAGGCGTCCAAGGTCACTTGGGGGAAGTTCCCCCATCGGCCCAAGTCGACGACATCCCTTCATCGAGATCTGCCTCAAGCAATGCATGCAGGATTGGGGACGCATGGCTCGATCAAGGCGCACACTTTGGAGACGCGAGAACACATGCCGGGGAGTCGGGGGGGGTACCACACGCGATTCCGCAGCTCGTAAGGCCAGGCAAATCCTCTTCGCCGTCCACCACCACGGTCATGCCAGTCTCCTTAGCATGTGTCTTTGTCCAGCTCCCGGCCGCAGATTTGCGTAGCCGACATGACTGCGCCCTCAACGGCGAACACATCCTTATGCTAGTCTCAATTACACGTTAGCTTCTACGAGCACGAGGGAAACCGCGTTCGTTCGGCCAAAAGCACAGAGATGACCACAATCTGGTAAATTGGTCGTCCCATGAGATCTTGACCAGGTCCAGCTTGCTTGGGGTTGTCAGTTCGATGAGGGACAAGTCGAACACGTTGGGGGCAAAACTCGAGGTGCGGAATTTTTTGCTTGACAAGGTGGGTGCATTCGCAGTTCGCACTGCCTTCGGCATTCATACAACCCTTTCGAAGCAGCTGACGAGGTCCGTACAAGGCGAATGGTCAGGAAGATCGTGGGGGAGCGCGATCCACGAGCCTCCACCCAAGGACAAGGTCAACTCGGTCGTACGCAGACCCGTCACGAAGGACAACTTGTCAATCGATTCTTCTTCGGTGCCACTGACCAACTCTGACGGGCAGCGACTTGCAACGCCGCCCCCCCCCACGAAGGCAAACGCCTTGACCACGGCGGCAAAAAATCAGTAGCACCGTGCTCCCTGGCATGTTGCAATTCGCTGGTCTTGCAGTCATCACGGGACGATGCACTGTCGTATTCATGGCCCACAGAGGCAGAGCATTCGTTTGATAGCTGTCCAGGATAAAATGGACTTTTCGAAGATCGCACGCCTAAGCGCATCGTGTCGACACTGCCGCGCTCTTGAGTTGGATCGAGAAAGTGCTACCGAAACAAGCCCCCCTTCGATCCCCCACCCACCACCCACGTCCCTCGCGATTCCTGTATTATCGGGGACAGTGTTTTCGTGCTCCTGCGTTGTGGGGGGCTACAAAAATTGTGGGAAAACCCTGGCTTCATCCAAGCCGTAGCTGTTCAATTATTTAGCAAAGGGGGCAAGCATCCGTTGCGCGCGTTGGCCGTCGACGGTGTTATCCAATGATGTCGGCTGTCTCTTACAATGCATGAGGAATTCTTTATTCGATTCTTATTTAATATGAAATCGTAATTTTGAATATATATTTAATATAAAATGAGGTTGTATATTAATATTTATATATTGTTTTGCTTATAGATTATGCCAATTTATTTATATATCATTTTTACATAATTATTTGAGCGTACGTCGGGCGAGGTGCAGAAACCAGGTGAACAATGCCCGATTTCGAGATGAAATCCCGCTTCAGAGGCCTCGCACTAACCGGTGGCAGACGCCCACCGACCACGACGTCGGAGGACCGGGCTGATTTCTTTGCATGGCTGCGATGCAGGGTGGCACAATGAAGTGCAAAATCGCATATTCATTCAACGTTTCAATGTATGCAAGTACATTTTGACTTACCTTTTGTATACCCAATTGCATGTATATTATAAAACACGTAACGGACATATGATCCAGCCCACTGTGACATACGCTGTCGTTGACAAGGTTGCTTGGGTGTCGAGTTGGTGTCGGCGTCGTTGGAAATCCGTGGATGGGCCGCAAGTCGCCGCTTCCGGGAGACTTCTTCCGCCGACCCGCGCTTGGTGACGCAGCTCGCGCCGAGTACATTCGCCGAGGCCAGGCAGCGCTGGTGGACCTCATTGAGAAGACAAGGCTCCTTGGAGGTCCGATTGAGTGGACGCGAGTTCACACGTCGTCTGGCGGAGTCACGACGTACCGCGGTGTGGATCCAGGGACGCAAGCCACTGTCTTCTTGCGTGTCAAGTCTGATATTGATGCTTCGTTGGATGAAGCGGCGTTCCTGTTTCGCCCACCGCGGCAGTACGACCACACGTACCTCCGCGAATTCGTCGTCGACAGCCAAACGCTGTACACCGTTGCGACGCCGTCGCGGCAGCACCCCCACAACAGCATTCGATTGCAATGGCTAGCCATTGACCCGAAACTTGTGGGCATTCGAGACTTTTGTGTGTTGGAGGTACCAAGTTCTCGCGATCGTGTCGACCGTGCATGCTTCTTCGTCCACATGACATGCGCAGCACGGACTGATGCTGGGCATACTCGAACGTTGTAGTACCAAGACGACTTTGTGCGAGAAGGCGTGCGGGGATTCGGGCGATGCTTCCACTCCGTCGACCTTCCCGCGGTCTGCCCCGACTTGCAAGCCACCTGCGGCTACACTCGCGCCACGTTGATTTTTGGCGGCGACATCTTTATCGAGAACATCCACCGCCCCGGCACACTCACGTTGTTTCGACTGTTTCACCAAGACATGAAAGGACGGGGCCAGTGGTTCCTGGCATGGGCTGGCCAGCGCATGCTGTCCCGGCAAGTTGCCGTTGCCGCCGACCACTTGCGCCTCGAACGCCAGTCCCAACCTGCCTTCGCGACGTCCAGTACCTCCATGTCGCAGCGGCACAGCTCGCACGTCCAGGATGAAGCGCCGCGCTCCACAAGGCGAACGCGATGCTCGGTGTGCCAAACTCGGTTTTTCCTTGTGTTTGGCTCGGCCAAATACACGTGCGCTCAATGCGGCCAGGTACGCGTGTCTACGCCCAGCAGCCACGGGGCGGCCATTACCTGTACAGGTCGGCGATTTATTCTGGGTCGTATAGATCGTATGCAAGTACTGCCACGTCGCTGGATCGCTGCGGCAACCCAGCAATTCCACACCGCTCGCAAGGGTGTGCACCCTGTGCTCCACCAAGTCCAAGACCCAGCGTGATTCCCACGCGCTGCAAGTGTCATGGACGACGCATGCAATGAGCCACAGCCAACGCAGTTCGACGCACAGACCACCTGGTTCAGCGTCCCTCGCGTCTTCGATGCGGTTCTCGCAGCCGCGTTCGGAATCGAATCTCGTCCACGACCCATCCGCGCCAGTGATGTCCCGGCCCCCATCGTCGGTTCGAAGCAGCAGCCATCCACCTCTGTCGCTCGGTCGGAGTCAAAGCGCTCGGTCCAGGGAAGTCGCCCCTCGCGTGGATTCCATCGACTCCACGGAGAGTCGGCGGTCCCCAGCAAACCATGTGAACGAAGCAACTCCATGCGCTCTTCCAACGGATGAAGAACGGGACGATATTGATGATTTGGATGCGATGCCACTATTGGATGCCACACCGACAATGCACGCGGCTGCAGCCGACGGTGGCGTCCGTGATGGGGAGAGCTCTGTCGTATCGAGCTTTGTCGTCGTCGATGTGTACCATAACCCACCGTCGCCGCACCTGTGCGCCCTGATTCAACATTTGCAAGCGCGAGACAATTCTTGCGGGGATTTCCTCGCACCGGACCTGCCACCATCGTCCAACATATTGGGTCACGCCAAGGATGATGCCAGAGACATGGCGAGCCCAAATGACTTTGCGTCCGATGCGGCCACGATCGCCACAGACTACGGGGAAGTCGGAGGGCGGTAGCGCCAGGAAAATGTAGATGCGGGCTATTCTAGCCTTTCATGAGTTATAACTTCATTTTGCGAGGGGGGGCGCTGCGACGACAAGGTCTTCTTGCGGCGTATTGTAGCGACAACAGATCGAAGTGAATTTGACGGACGTCATGCCGTCGACTATTCCTGAGGCACGGTCGAGCCTCATGCCCAACGCTGCGTGGCACAAATCGGACTGCTTCCAACGCGACGGCGATCCCTATGCATTTTCGATGGAGAACTATGCATACTAGTATTATGGACCAGAGTAGTATATCACTGTTGCACCAGTCCGAAGCGGGATCTTCGCGCGTCGAACAGCATGCGTCGCGAAGCCAACCTTCTCAGCGAAACAGTACACACATCACGTCCGACCACCGATTCCGAGGAAGTCAGCACTGCGGTCCCGAGCTAGAGACCGCAAGCAGTGGATTCAAGCGATCTCCAGGGCGACGACCTCGTCATCGTCGACCCCCCATCAGTCAGTGATCCTGACATGGAATTTCGCCAAAAGTTGGTCGATCTCGCTGAATTTTCAATAGATTTTGGCGAATTTCAACTGTCAAAAACACCCGTTTGCTTCGGAGGGTAAGAACGTCACAACATTGAAATGTCCACAGCCGACCACGTGCCAGTTGTGTGGTTTGTCACTCGCTCGGGATCCATAACGCGGCTCCATTGAGAGATGCGAGCGCGCACACTCACGCTGCCCCTCTCCCAGGCTTCTTTCGATGCCCGCGCTTGTCTGGACGATGCGTAGGTCGTACAGAAGACGCAGCCAGCTCTGCCTTACCTCGTCGAAGCACATCGATCACGGTAGGCCGACAGCAGCATACTCGACCACGAAGCCAAGGTGTTTGATGTATGCAATGGATTCCTGGGCTGCTCGACCGTGCACGTTCGCATTACTGAATTGCATGGCATGTTCAAGGAAGCCGCATCGTGGTCAGCGTCGGGACAAAGGCAGCCACGACGACTGCGCGACCCACAACCCAGATCGCGAGATCTTTGGCCAAACGTTCAACACGCTGGCTGAACCAACGCCTCTTCACCTCCACAGTAGCCGTGTATCAAAGTGGCGTGCGCTGGACCTGACGAGTTGTCGTGACGTGCGATTCTCGTACACTCGTGATAATCTTCCCGTCTGTTCCATCGTCCAGCTCGACGCAGTGCGCCCGTTGCTGCTAGTACCATGGCAACGAGACCATGAACGGGATGGAAGGAGCCGGTCGGTGTTTGCTAAGCGTAGGGCTCGCCCCGGCCAGTCCGAACTTGGAGCAGTGGGTGGAATTCAATCTCGGTGGCAGCATTTTTTGTTCCAGATCCGACGTCACGGCGATATGGTGTTGGCTGTTGGATACCGACAAAAGGGACCATCGTGGCCCACCTCCGACCCCTTGTTGTCGGCCGTGGATAGGTACGAGCGACAGCAACGGAGCAACCCCTCTCTACACGCTGGTACCCCGCCGCACTCAGTGCTGCTTGCTCTGTCGTCGTGACGTGATGTTGCTGGCGAAGAAGTTGAACTGCCGCAGGTGGGGGGAGGCCGTGCGCCGACGCTGGCACAACAGATCTTCAATTCTCGACCACCCAAGTGGTCACGGCTTCATAGCACCTCTTCCACTTCTGTCCAGTCGCGAACGATGCAAGGAAAGACCGTCGCTTGTCGTGGGGACCTGGGCGCTCGAAACTCTCGAACGATGGCCTATCGAGCGTGAAGTGTTCGTCGCACTGCGCCGGCGCGGCGGGGCATGGATCCAGGCCTGGCCATGGTGGTCGCCAACATGTCGACGCTTCGGCGACATGGCCAGTGACGCCCCCAACCAACGTGGACCAGTGCGCGGACGTGGCTCTATCGCTGTGGTTAGTCGAAGCCGACATGGCTGAAAACGTCATTGCCCCCATCACGCCCCCTCTTCCACCGAAAACACGCGAGGAAACGGGATGCCAGCCGTCGAAGAAGGCACGGCAATCATGATGGCACCGGCTAGGATCTTTTAGATGAACGCATTTCTAGATGGTGCGTGCCAATGTTGCCCGTCGACCAGAACGGCATGCAACTCCAACGTGTCCTGCAATCGCCGCCATCGAACCCGACATGTTCCAACTCGTCCACATGGTTGATATACACAACGCGCCCGAGGACGAAGTAAGTCGCATCCACGTCAGCCACATCCGATCATGGTGTTTTGAGCAGCGCCCGTCGACTGCTGTCGGCGGTGGTTACCCATAGCGTCGATGTAAACGGACGAAGCATTGCACACTGGCATGCATATCACAAGCGCTTGAGCGACCCATCGAGCCCCCGAGCGGAAGAAGGGTTGCCTCTTTGGAAAGCCAATGCCACGGCATGCCCGGGCAATTCTGCTATGGCGAGAACACCATCCGTCGGAGGGCTTCTTCGGCAAAGCCCCGCGCCGGATGAGGGACACCGCAGGCAGTCCTGCATGATGCGGCCGCACGATAGGAACACCTCTTCACAGTTCGTCGGATCCACTTGAGACAAGCAACCTGTCGCAATTGTTTCGACATCGTTGTGGCAAACGTGGCCAGCACTTCCCGACGAAGGGGGCGTCGCTCCATAAGAAAGCCTTTGCACACACACCACGACGACTCACTTGGTGCACATGCGATGACCATGTTTGGCAACGAGAACTTGTCACGACCGTGGTGGTCGATGCACAACACAACTCGAATCCGAGTGTGTTGAGTTGTGTAAGGGTGAGGGGCCGACATGCGGCAGCGCCGTGAGAAAAAAGCGCTGTGCAGCGAGAGGGTGCACTGACCAGCGTTGTCGGCTATGTTGTCCATGGCGACGTTGGATGGACGACGCTGTGTACACCTCGGTGAAAAGACGAGCCCGGGCGGTGGGAGGCACGTGGCTGGGATAGTCCGTTGCAGGATGGCCATGCTCATCACAATGACCCGGGGATGGTTATTCGCCCATCTGGCGATACGACATAGGCTCCCTTGGCAAATCCCGACGTCCACGTGTGATGGCATTTCAACAACCTATCGTGTCCAGCGAGCCCTCCATCTGACGGCGACGCCGCCGAGGAGCCCCCCCCATCCAGCCCTGCAAACCAGTCCATCCATTGGCATGGCACGATTCCGCCTCCGGTCGACCACCATGACCATGCCGCTGACGACGGGAGCGTCGCAGCACCCCCGACTGCCCCAGGATTCTTTTTGTGCCCCTACTTGACGTCCACAGCACGATGGGACTGGATGCACCGCAGCCGACAAGCGCTAGTCGACCTCACGAAAAAAACGCGAGTCGATGGCGGACCGATTAAATGGACACTGGACCACGAAAGCAACGGCGTGCTGGTCGACCGCGGCAACGACTCGTTGCATGCGTCCCAGGTATTTCTACGAGTGACTGAAGTCCGCGCGTCGTTGGTCGACTTGGCCGACGTGCTGCGCCAGCCAGACCACGTCGACCGCCAGACGCTGTATCGTATCGCTGGCGACGGTCGAGCATTCGCGGATTCGACAACGTTGCTCGTGCAGTGGCGAGCTTTGCGGCCCAGTGTTCTCCACCGTCGGCGAGACGCATGCCTCCTACGAGTACTCGATGGCATGTTCATGGCAAGTTTTCATGCAAGGTAGTACCAAGACAACTTTTCCGTCGACGGCTTGCGAGGGGTGGGGCCAATGCGTTCGACGTGCCCAATGTTTGCCCCGACTTGCAAGCTTCGCTTGGCTACGTGCGGGCGTTCATGCATTTGGGGGGCACGATTTGCATGGAGAACCCGCAGCGGCCGTCTCGGTGAGCCAGCTCTACCAGATCGACTGGAACGGATTGTTGCCGCCGTGGCTGTCCCGATGGCTCACGTCGGAGAGAGCGACTCGAGCGTGCGAATGCATTGGCATGATTGTGCATCACGCGCGACGACGCAAGGCGATCTCCAAGCCGAGCTTTCGACTGCCACAACAACGGCGGTGCGTGTGTGCATCGGGCGTCGCGCTGCGGAGTGTGCATGTGCCATTTCTTCCCAGGCCTCTGCACCACGCACAGGTGCCACCACTGCGGCGTGTGCCACTGATGTAGCCGGTCGCTCGACGCCCCTCAAGACTTGGATGGCGTGCATGCTCGATGCATGGCGAACGCGACGTTGACAACGGCAACAGGATTGTCCCGCCGACAGCGCCACCAAGTTCTGCTGTCAGTCAAGATGACGAGCCATGTATTGGATCGCCACCCCGACTGCCACGCGTTGGAGGAGCCCAGGACGTACCTCAGCAGGAAGGCACTCTCCGTCCTTCCATCCGCGCACGGCAACTGCTCGAACCCCCTTCGGCCGTCGCACGGCCACCTCGCCACCAGTGGCCACCATGAGCACACCCTTCAGCCTCGTGCGTCGTGATCGATGATGGCGCGACGACTATTCCAGGTCTCACGCATGGTTATGAGAGCGCGGACCGTGGGTCGAGTGTCGTCGAGCGAGCTCATTGCATGGACGCTCCGCCGCGGGACGGCCATGGAATCTGTCCATGATCATGTTGCAGGACGACGACGGCAGCCGCGTCGACGCGATGTCTACCACGGCGACAGTGGACCACCGTGCGGCGTCCGAGAGCACGAGGGGAGGATGCATGGACGTCTCGAGGAAGGGACTAGTGCGCGACAACGCTACTACTTCCAGCCTTGGCAATTGAAACACTCGCCATCATGCAACTTGAATCCCCCCCTCGACGATGACACCAAGCGCATCGAATGGGCCCTCGGCCAAGACAAAACGCTGCTGGCAACTCGACCTCGGTTAACGCACGATTCCGATTGCATGCCGCGTCACCCTCCACTAGCACTCAAAGCACTCGCCTCGCTCGTCTACATGTCGTCGTTGGCGCGAGGTGCTGATGCGCCATCGTCGCTCGCATCACGATGGAGCACGTCAGCACCACACAATCGGTTCGGGCGTCGTCCCTGGGCAGTCCTGGCATCCCACTTCTGCATCGTCCACAAGGTAGATGGGTTTGTCTGTGTCGTTGTCATCGTGGGGTTCGTCGCGCCGGTCCACTTCGAGTGTCTTCAAGTGATCGAGGAGCAGTCGGAGTTGGCCGGGGGATGCATCGTCGTCGAGGTCGTGGAGTAGAATGACCGAGGCGGACGACGCATTCGATGTCTCGCGTGGGGATTCCAACGGGCCGCCTTCTTGCCACCGTCGACCCACGTCGGCCGCCGTGAGAACGTATGGAAAGTCCGATCCGTTCGATTGCGCACGGGCGCTGCGTTTGATTTGAAACCCCGTCGGTGGTGGCGCTGTCTGGACGGGATGGCGACGATCCTGTTGGCGTCGAGTAGTCGACTGCGACGACGGCGTGTTCCTCGAATTGCCGCGGCGTTTGTCCTGGCTCAGGACCGCTTCGTCGTCCGACGTGGCAGTCCGTGACGTTTTCATCGAGTGCAGCAGCCCCCGGCACGATGGCAACGACGTGCATGCGATGCACATGCGAACCATCCGCTGGGCGGATGGATGGCGTCGCTGCCACGGGACTGTCTGGTCGTTGTCGTGGCAGGAAGGGTCATGCACGTCGACGTCCCACAACGGGTTGCATTTCGTGCAAACGACGTCGCCGCACTTGCGGCAGTGCGACTTGCGGAAAATGTGGTTGAATTTTGCCATGCACAGCGCGCAGTGCGATCGGGCGCTTGTCGGAATCATGTCGTGTTGGGGGAGGCAGGTCGAGAGGAAGGCGAGGACGCGCTCGCGCCGAAAGTTGCGGTCGAGGGACGCCATGCATTGCGACATCCTGTGCTTGGCGAATCGGTCGACGAGCCACGGCTTGAGTGCCCCCTTGGCGTCTTGCTGATACATGCGAAGCACAGTCAGGTACCCGTCGCGGTCCCGGTGGTCGAGAAAGATGTCGCCGCCGACCCACAAGTGGCTCCGAACCATGCCAAGCGACTTCTGCAGGTCTGGCACGATGCTGCCCATATCAATGGAAGTCATGCACCGACCGAATCCTTGGATCCCGTCAATCGTAAAGTCGTCGCAGTACTGCCACACAGTCCATGAGCCACCGAGCATGGGAGACATCGTACCTCCATAAACACCATGTCGCGGAGCTTGATGAGCGGGGTATTGATCGACACAGCGCGCCATTTGATTGCGATCGAGTTGTGTGGGTGCGATGGCGTCGGCACGGCCAGCGGGTACAGCGTCTTGAGGTCCACGACATGGTCCTTGTGGTACGTCGCGCAGTAGTCTCGGCGGCCGTCGGCCCCAGCACTCATGATAGACGCCGCTTCGTCTAGCGTCGCCTGCACCTCTGTCATGTTCAAGTACACCGTGCGGTGTCCGCTTGGCAACGTCATGTCCTTGCCGCGGTAGACCGTCACGTTGTGATGTGTGTGGTCCAACGTCCACTGGATCGGACCGCCGCGTAGTCGCGTCTTCTCGACGAAATCGATAAGAGAACGCTGGCCCTGGCGAATGTATTCGTGACGGAGGTTCTCCGACAGCGGTGGCGTGATGAAGAACCCGTCCGGCAGCGGCACCTTGACCTTCATGCCGCCAGATTTGACAATGCAACATCGTGGAGCGGCATACACACACACACATCGCCGTCGCCTGTCCTGGCACCAAATAAAAAAAACCCATTCATTTGTACATGATGTTTGTATGTCGAATTCCGCCTCGGAATAAAAACGTGGTCGTACCCATGCAAGTCGCAGATGGAACGGCGACATGCCGCCGACCCACGTTCACAAAGCAGCGCCATGTCATGCGAATTGCCACCGCGGAGCGTAGCTGGTGCGAGCTCCTTTGTCGATCGGCACTGACATGCATCTTCCAACGCTGGAAGATCCTTCCGCAGGACACCGGCAGCAGCCCCATCCACCACTGCACACAACGTGTGTTACTCGCTCGAAATATACAACCTGTTCATTTCCCGACGTGAAAAATCCACTTTTTTCGACTTTTTTGATTGGCTTGATATTTTCGGCACACCGAGACAAGATTGGACGAAAATCTCCCGACGGCAAGCGCGCTCCCACCAAGGAGCGTCTGTGTAGAGTAAAACCAAACCCCAGTCGTTTCGATAGCGCGTCCTTCAGGAATGATCGATGTACCTGACTCGTAATCACCATCCCTCCACACTTTGGACGATGGAAACAGCCACTTGCAACGACATCGTGGCAATTCGGGGTTTTGCGCCAGAAACGATTTTGATTGGGTCGGTTCGTTTATTTTTTGTTTTTGTGAAAGAGGTCCGTTGGACCACGCCACCCCTGTAGTACCCGACTGTGTTCACCAAATCGTGTACGAGCAGCGCCGCCGACGATGTTTTTGACGACGGCGCATGTTTCGCCAATGTCGATTCTCACGTGTCCAACCATCCCAGCCAAGGTGTCCGGGCGCAGTGACTGGAATCATGCCTCGACTGTGTGGGATTTTTTTCAAGCGATGTTTTTTGTCCAACGTGGACTTATTCTGACCACGCGGAATGGATGGATATGTTGACGTAACCGTTGGCCTACTGGATATTTTGACACTTCTTGGCAAGATGACGTACCGTTGAAAGGGCACATTGCACATGGCCGACCGACCCCCATGGCTTCGTCGACGCGGTGCAAGTCTCGCCGCCTGAGCTGTCAAGCGCGGGGGACGGCTGAAAGATCTTCAGGATCGGTGCTCTCTTTTGCACGATGCGCCATCCCCCAGACTACCGCAAGCACTGCCGCATGCAAACGAGTGAAACGCGTCGATCAAACGGGCGACCTTGTCCTCCTTTATCCGTGAAAAGCGGGTCAGTCGGCCCCCCCCGCGATACCAACGCACGTGTCGTGCGCCATTGTCCTGCTTCACCCGGACGGGAATGGGATTTCCTGTCGCCGTGGACAAGTCAACATACCCACCCACCCCCGTCACACGAGTTCTATCCAACGGGGGGGTGACCTGTGAACCACTTTGGACGGACCTTCGACGAGCACCCCCCCCGCGGCACTTTCCGTACCCCACGGGAACATGAGCGACTCGCATGCCAGGCTCGAATCGCGTCATCCTCAAAGGTCGAGGTCGCTGCAGCACCGTCCATCCCCCCCCTCGTTCCACATCCGAGGTGTGTGTATCACACATTGGTCTGACTGAGCCATCGGACGCGCCACACTGTCGATTTCCTCATTCGAATGGCCGCATGAATCGAGGTCCGCACTCCCTCGACGACCTGTCCGCGGTGGATCCTGACGCAGTTCGATCGGCGCCCCACGTAAACAGAGACGGCACCCTTCCGACGCTGCGATAACGAACCGACTGCCGCAACTCCAATGGGTATGATGCACAACGCGAGTGTGTGCCATGGTGCGGTTCTTGCTAGAGTGCTATGAACGGCTGGTCGAGCCGACTCCAGCGGCCAGGCCACAGGAAGATCACTGTCAAAAAAATATCGCCATGCTTCAATCGTGTCTGCGACTGGTTCACATTGCCAGGCCGGCTCGGAAAAGCTGCGACACGGCTGTGATCGCTGGCCACCGCTTCGGCCACCGCGCATTGCCACGATGCTTCTTGGGCTTGATGGGTCGACGAGTATTTCACAACATCGAGATGCCCACATCGTGCAACGAACGAATATTATATTAAATATACTTCGAAGCAGGAGATACTATTTCTTCAAATAATCATAAATCCAACAATAGAAATTTTTTATGAAAATATATATGATAATATATCTCTGTCACGTTTGGTCTACTGTATAAACTTCGGCAACATCAAGAAAGCCCGCGCGCCCATTCAACCGCGTCGGTCGTGCCGCCCTTGACGCGATGAGTGTGCAAATGCTTGATCATTTCGAGGTCCATGCGTCCCACTTGACCGCCCGTGTTGTCGCCCCTTCGACACGGTGGATGCGGCAACCATTGCACAATGTCCAAGTGGCCGTTGGCAGCAGCCGCATCCATCGCATACAGCCTTCCCTGCGGTGGGTGTGTAGGAGCTGCATCACGTTCACTATGTCGACACGCTGCAGCGCCATCTATCGCGGCGATCGGTCCTCGTCCGCCCCGCGCCTCGTGCGAGACTCGAACAAATTGCATATGACCCGCTTGTCGTGCTTCGTCCATGGCTCGAGTTGTGCCTGGGAAGCCGTGCATGATACTGTACTCAACCGGCTGAGATGCCCCATGTCGGCAGTCGACGATCTCGGCCGCTCGTGGACCGTCCATAGCGGCGAGATATCGCACACTGTCCTCGCGTCTTGTCGCCCAAAGTCACGCCGATGATCGCAAGTTGTGCGCTGTCATAAGGTCGCAACGTGTCCGCAAAGTGCAGCCACATCCCAATGATGCCGTCGTGGCAAGTCACCTGGCGCGGACAGCGCGTCCAGCACATTTTGTCGTCCACTGTTCAGCGCATGGATGCAAACAATGCCGTAGACGCGAGGGCTGACTGCGACTACGTTGGCGACGCGAGCGGTCGGGCGAGTGCCGTGCCAAGCGTCGAGGGTTCGTTGGAGCGCCCGTATTAGTCGCGTCCTCGAGCAGCGAGGATGGCAGCCCTTGCAACGGCATCAAGTCGGCTGGGATCCGTGACTGGAACACTCTCCCGTTGGAAAGGATTTCTTGGTTGAAGCGAAAAAGTTGTGCGCCATCGGGCACCACCGACCGTGTTGACGCGCTTTTCCATGCTGTTTGGCATACTGCAGACGGGTGGGCGGGACACCATTTTGCACGATTGTCCGTCCGGGGTCGTTCGACAGTCTTGGGCTCGCCTTGCGCTGCAGGAGCCGCCAGCAAGACGTCAGAGGTATATTTCGCAAGAGCGTTGGGATTTCATGCACACGTGACAGCGCACACACCACGACTGGTACTTTAGACGACCGCAAAGCGCCACTAGTTCCATCCGACCACCATGCGGATGCCCACGGGTCCCAGAACGCAAACCTCTGGACACGCAGACATACAATCCTCGCACGTCGTAGCATGCGCATCAGCCAAGGAGTGCGGCGGTCCGTCACTGACTCGTGAAAAGGCCTGTTCGGGGCGGCCCACACCCACGCTCCGCGCCGAGTGGGTCCACCACGCCGCCCCGCATCCCATGGCCCAGGCCGCGGCTCCAAGATGCAAAAACAGTCTTCGTTTCCATTGGCTCAAATTTGGACGAAGTCGTCTGTGATTGGTTGACCCTGTAAAAGTAATTTTTCGTAGTAACGTTAAGGCTCGAAATTGCACGATGGCGGTGGCCCCCCGCGCCGAGGGGCCCTTCATACGAAGCCTCTCACTCCAACTTGCATGGATACAAATGACCATTCCTGCCCACAGCCGCGCGCTGACAGCCCCCGTACGCCTTGTACGAGCCCCTGAAGGCGCCAACTCGGTTGCCCCGCCAAACATACAATGACTCAAGTGCAGCGGTGGCGGAGATATCCCAGCCAGTTTGTATCGGCCGCGCGACGGGCAGAGGCACATCCGACGGCCTCGAACACGTTCGACGGGGACATGTCTACTTGCGATCGATGGAATCCCTACGAAACAAGTTCCTGTGGACGACATTCTTCGCATCCTCGGCCATTGCCCTCTCCCGATGTACTCCCGCAACAAGAACCTCCTGCGCTTTACCCCGGCTGCCCGTGGGCTAGATAACCCTGGACGGCTGTCGTTCGCGGTTCCAGCAAACTACGTGAACACTAGCGATGCGACTCACACGAGTCCTCGCTTCTCGACTTGCCCGCAAACTCTCGCTTGAGCAAAACCAGCGCGTCGTGCCAAGGCATGGCCCGCGCGACACTCTTTCGCGTTGAAACCCTCGAGTCCATTCGAGTTACGCCCCTTCAATGTATTCACAAGCCATTCGCTCAGGGCAAACCACGGCATCAGAGTACTCCAGGCGCGGAACTCATCCATGTGAGACAAGAAACGATTGCGCCCAAAGGCGCAACCCGCATCCGCATGCTCCTCTTGTGCTACTACGTAGTCACCTGGCCCACGTCGGCGACGGAATTGAAACGATTTGCCGCCGCACAAGGAAACCACACACACCACTCAGACGGCAACAAGCATGGAAGGCATCGCTTGTTCGCGAGTATTCCAAGCGAATTCAGCATCGTGCCGCCCTAGTGAAGCGGCGGACCTCCTTCACGCGAACAGTGTTGAAAGTCACAAATTTCCATTTGCCATGTCGGAATGAGAGTCAACGTGATTTCCTTAAATCGTCCATGCCTTGCGCACCCGAGCAAAAAATCGTCAATTGCACCATTGGAGAGTTTTGATTGGTGGATATCCTGGACGCATTACCCAGATGTATCGATAAATCCTGAACGGACGCACATCGACCATGTCGAAGTCCGATCCATGGATTGCCACGTGGCTTCGCATCCAGCAGTTCTACACACGAAACTGGCCCTGCTCGTCAGAAAACGGCACCCACCACGATTCCAACGAGCACGGGAATGAAACACGTGCCTTGCTGTATCACTGAGGATCTTGTTCACGTTTTCGACGATTTAGGGAAATACCGCGGGACCAAACGAGAATGATGGTCGCATTCCATTGATCCTGGGGCCGGATTTCGACCATGTCGCGGTCGCAGGAATCCATTGACGCATCCGACGAATCGACCGCACCGGGGTGGACGGCGCCAGTTTTGAATCCTTCGCGTTGTCCACAACGCGAAAGACTATGCCTTCCATGCCCACCTACGAGCCCATGATTCATGTCCACGTCAACCTGCACGTCAAGAACCAGCAGTCCACGACCGACGACGTGGACAACTACGTGATCCAGTGGCGTGGCGGCGACTTGGGGCTGGCCCTGGTCTCCGAACCCGTCTGTGTCAGCCGAGTGACTGGCAAGGGGTCGCCCAAGGGACTCGAGCACGCCCGTCCGGGCGATGTTTTGCTCTCGATCAACGGCGTCGCCACCAAACATCTGACCAAAGATGCCGTCACCCACATTCTCCTACATTGTGCCCTCCCCGCGACATTGCACTTTGCCCGCCCCGACTACGACGACTTTTGGACGTACCCCCGCCGCACCAGCATGCCATCGTTGTCTCCGTTCGCACATGGCGATGCGCCACCGCGGCCCCGACGCCTGTCGTTCACCCCCCCACATGGCTACGACGCCAGCATGACACCCACCAGTCCTCGCAACTCGAACGGTCCCGTCAAGTCGCTGCTTGCGCCCAAACCAGCCACGGAACGCATTGCATCCAGTCGCGGCCCGCGCCACTCGGCGCTGTTTTAAGGTATAGTCGTATTTAGTGCCGAATATATATGATGTACGCGCATCTGTTTTCCATCATCGTGTGCCTCGCATGACGCACGACTTCCCACCGTTCAAATCGCAGCGGCCCCAATGCACATGGAGACGCTGCTGCGTTTCCGGCGTCGAGCTGCTGCGCCACTGCGCGAACCGCGCATCGCCCGCCGAGGCCACCCACACAGTCTGCAGAAAATGGCTGCCAACCTCGTCGTCGAGCCCCGCCACGCGTCGTGCGCGGCCGCATGCGTCGACCACTCGAACGTGCACACTCGACTTTCCAACGACTCGATCGACCGTGACATTACAACTTGATGCAATTGCTGTCATTCTCACTGCACACGATCGAGATATTGTCGCCGAGGACATAGACGGGGTCAGCGTGCGGCCGCTTGGCATCGTCGTCGCTGTCGTCGTGCAGCGCGATCGGCTCATACCACTCGCCATCATAGCGTTCTTCGTCACACTCGGTCGTCGGCGACCGCAGCCAAGGCGACGACTCGGGATGTGCATATCCGCTGCTCTGCTGTTCGTGAAACCTACTGACGTATGGCTGGTCGTGCATGGAGGACGACAGCGCGTCGTGGAGCATCTCGTTCCATGGCCGCGTGTGCCCGGTGCTGCTCGCACGAGGGATTCGCCTCAATGGTTCCGGGGGTCGGTCCACACTGTGCGATGGCGATGCCGACGACGATGCTGTCCCTGTGGGGACCGACGAACAAGGATAACAGAGGCATGGCCGGGGGCCATGGCGAGTCGTCGACGGCTGCTCCCATGGGTGGCAGCATTGCCGGCACATGATCTAATCCATCACAGTCAGTCCCGCGGAACAGCGACCGACCACCACACCTGGCCACATCGACGGCACTTGAACTGGGTCCGGTGCCGAGATAACGCGACGCGGCACCCGTCGCACACCCACGACGTCGACAAGGGCGCGTTCGCGGCCCTGTCGAGGCTGAGCCCTATGTCAAGCAAGTCTTGCGGTGGCTTGTGACCATGATGATGGCTGGTCATTTCGTCTGGCTGCGGCAAGATGGTCATCCGCGTCATGCGCTGAGCTCGAAAGTAAGCGTCCATGTCGGCCAGCGTCCGCGCGCGCTGTTTGATGCCAAGGCGCAGGATCCACTTGGGAAAGTTCCCCTTCAAGTCGACGTGGTATATCTGCGCCGCTTTCAGGACACCTGGGCGGTTCGTTTCCAAAAAGACTGTTCCGCACGCTTGAAACACTGCCCGGACAATGCCCATCGCGTTGTAGAGTGACGGAACCCAGTCGACGTCGACCGAGTGGAGCACTCGAGCCCATCCTCGCGCGCCCTGCAGCGAAAAGTCGTCGCAACACTACGCCACGAATGCATGACGGACGAACCGCGGCACAAGTTGAAAAAGCACCAAGTCAACACTCGCACCTCGAGAACGCAAAAGTCGCGATTCCGATACGGCGTCGGCGCCCCTTGCACAAACCACTTGAGGCCAATGTAGTTGCGGGGGTACTCGGGCGTACGCGGCGCGAGCGTCGTCAGCATCGCGCAGTCAATCACGTCCTTGTTGTACCGCTGCATGAACGTGCGGTACGACTCGTTCGTGTCGCATTCGAGCAGCGCAGCCGCTTCGTCCAGCGTCGCATGGAGCTCCGTGACGCTCATGAACACGACGTCGCTCTTTGCCTTGCTCAGATCCGACCCCACGTACACCTGCAAGTCCTGCGTTGCGCGCTCCAACTTCCACATGTACGGACTCGAATCGTCCAACCGAGCATGCAGCACAAGGTGCTTGAGTGCACCAACGCCTGTTTGGATCAATGCGTCCGTCTCGCTCTGTGTCAAGTTGGGGCACTTGAAAAAGTCGGTCGGAAGCGGGTGGGCAAGCCGGCGGCGCTGCATCGGGACGTGCTACAGGCGAGTCGTTCGCGTCTGGGCAAGGCCACCTGGTCGTGGGTGCAGAACTGGCGCCTCTGTCGGTGCAGCCGTCGTCGCTCTCGGCGTAGCCGCATCTCTTGAATTTGATTGGTTCGAAGAACCTCCCACAATGAATACTTCACAGCCTACCCACGGCACGTCGCGCTTTTGCGGGGTAAACCGCCCTCTATGAAATGATATTGTGTGCGTAGACAGACCTGTGAAATTTGATTGCCGCGGCGCCACACCATTTCTACAGCGAAACACGTCATTCCAGGACTGTGGGCTGTATAACGCCCCCCCCATGGTTGCCGCACCGCGTCTTGCGGACGTGTACGGTCGATCCACTCACCCGTCGTCGCCATCGCCACGGCACAACCTCTTCGCCGCAAGCAAACGAGATGGGTATTCAAATTCAAATATTAACTTTCACAGGTTTTATTGTGTTTGACTCGACTTGCGATGATCCTCAATCGCCACGACGGTGGATGCCACGAGCATCCCGACGATGGAGGAATCGCACGGGTTCGAACGGAAGATAGATATATGTGCGATTGAGTCTAAAGTGGAGGAATGCCTACTTGTACGGTCCGCGGCGAGACATGTAGTCGTACATGGCCATCGTGCTCAGGAGCAAGACGACGCTCGTGACCTGGCCGTAGATACGCGTGTGCATGATCTTCTGCGACAACTGGATGTTCTGGTTGCGGTTCTGGTCCAAGAAGATGAGTCCGACGAGCGGAACGGCCGTGCACGCGACCGTGCGGAACGGGTAGTCGTGGACGTAGTTGCCGAATTGCTGGTACAGCGGCAACGACTTGGTCGGCCCCGTCGACTGCGCCGCCTTTGCGTCCGGCGCGGCCTGGAGTTCCGAGATATACTTGTCCGGGTTGCGACTACCGCGCAGCAAGTCGTTTTCGGCGGCAATCGTGAACGCCGACATGCCTGCCATCACGACCAGACCGACCTTGCCACTCACCCCGAGACGGGCACGGAACGTCGGCGAGTACTGGTGGGCCGCCGCCACGACGGCACCAGCGATGACTGTGGTCGCGGCACCGGCCTTGAAGCCGAGGCTGGCCGAGTTGGACGTGATGATGTCGCGCTTCTCGAGGGACGTGGCCATCGGGTCGCTGGCAAATGTGGAAATGGGGCTCCAACGTGGTGCGCTCCAAAAATAGCGGAATAAGGTGGGTACTACTTTTAGTCAACATGGAAGGGTTGCTAAAAGTGTCCCGAAATCGTTTGACTGGATCTTTGTATAGTATACTTCACGCGAGCCCAAAGTCAACTGCAACATGAAGGTGTGACGTACCAGCGAAACGTGCCTGCCTCGGTCGGGACGCTCGGTTTTCATAGGACAATCACCATGAGCGTTGCAGACTAAAGAGGATATGCGGCGATGGTGCGTCGTATAGCAAGGCTCGCGTCGTGTCGACGTTGTTGTTTCGATATGTCGCCATCGACAACCACATCCATGGAGGTTCTATGGCGCTCGGTAGAAGAATGTGTGGAAATTCTGACTATTTTCTCTCGGAATATTGCATCTCACCTCTCCCGCTCAACATAGCGTATCGGGTATATTCACGCTCCAAAACGCAAAATTGTGGACCAAACATAAGTGCATACTTTATTCAAGACAACACGGCGAAACAGTGATCGTGTGTGCGCACAATAATCTTGGAGAGACGCGACATGAATGTCGCAATGTCCGTTAATAGTATATTTCGAACGATCCGACAAAACGCCCCAGCCACATCTCAGGTCGGCCGCCACGTTTTTTTTGCGCTGCGTTACCAGTTTGTTGGATGACTAACTTTAGCATCATCCGATGGGGGGGGGACGGAATGTTCCATCGAGTTCGGTTCATTTCCACATTTGCCAGCGACCCGATGGCCACGTCCCTCGAGAAGCGCGACATCATCACGTCCAACTCGGCCAGCCTCGGCTTCAAGGCCGGTGCCGCGACCACAGTCATCGCTGGTGCCGTCGTGGCGGCGGCCCACCAGTACTCGCCGACGTTCCGTGCCCGTCTCGGGGTGAGTGGCAAGGTCGGTCTGGTCGTGATGGCAGGCATGTCGGCGTTCACGATTGCCGCCGAAAACGACTTGCTGCGCGGTAGTCGCAACCCGGACAAGTATATCTCGGAACTCCAGGCCGCGCCGGATGCAAAGGCGGCGCAGTCGACGGGGCCGACCAAGTCGCTGCCGTTGTACCAGCGATTCGGCAACTACGTCCACGACTACCCGTTCCGCACGGTCGCGTGCACGGCCGTTCCGCTCGTCGGACTCATCTTCTTGGACCAGAACCGCAACCAGAACATCCAGTTGTCGCAGAAGATCATGCACACGCGTATCTACGGCCAGGTCACGAGCGTCGTCTTGCTCCTGAGCACGATGGCCATGTACGACTACATGTCTCGCCGCGGACCGTACAAGTAGGCATTCCTCCACTTTAGACTCAATCGCACATATATCTATCTTCCGTTCGAACCCGTGCGATTCCTCCATCGTCGGGATGCGATTGAGGATCATCGCAAGACGAGTCAAACACAATACA